AGAGAAACTCCGTAAAAGAGCAAATCAAATAACTATTACCTTTTTCAAAAAACGACAGGGGGCATCTACCTTGCACACTGTAGTTTCCTGAAGTGGAAGCCAAAGCTCAAACAGTAATAGTTGTGCACTGTAAAGGCTATTTCTATCGTATTTTATTTGTTGTGTCTTCTTATTGCGTGCCCTATATATATACGACATCCTATTACGTTTTTCAAAAAAGGACAGGGGTGGGCAAAATGCTTATAACGTTTGATAGGAGATAGCTCGAGTGCAGTGTGCAAGGTAGATGCCCCCTGTCGTTTTTCAAAAAGATAATAGTTATTTGATTTGCTCTTTTACGGAGTTTCTCTCTCTCTCTCATTTTATTCTTTGCCCTATTCCTCTTTGTTAAATTGTTAACAGAATAACCTATTTAGTAATGTATTTTCTCTTTTCTTTTCTTAAAAAGATCTCTGTCACTTGTGACCTTCGAGTAGTAGGTGCATCTATGAAGGACACTAACATGTGGTCTTTAAAGAAAAGAAACTTTGCGTATCTGTTTGATTTTAACAGTAACAGCATTCAAATGATAGATCAAGGGTTAAGATTGAAGTGTTGACGTAGATTCGTTCCAGTAGTACCAACATATTGAGCATGACATTGAGTGCATGTAATCAAGTAACATAAATTTGTACTGATACATGACACATTGAAAGGAACACTAAATATTTGATCAGTCGCAGAAGATATAAAGCAGTTTTGTTGGATCAAATGTTTACAAGTCGTACAGCGAGTTGAGTTACCAGAAGTACATCCAATTAGACGATCATCAGGACAAATAACGACGTGAGTAAATGATGAAGGATACCGTGAACGAGTTAATAGACGAGATAAATTAGAAGAACAGGTATAGACTAATCGTTCAGTCAGCGGCAACGTAACAGAAAATTCAGTTTGTAGAAGTTTACGTAAAGAAGGCAGCTGTGCATGAAATGGAATTATGATATTGTTGAAGTTCTCTTTCTCACTGGATTTCTTTGGTCGATTGATTAATTCTAGATGGTCATAATATTTTGTTTGCAATATTCTGTAAAACATTAGCAGAATTGTGACCGCGATTAATTAAACGAATAAATAAATTGTAAAATTCGTACCACTTTGAAGTATTTGAAGATGAAATACGTATAATTCGATTAGCTAAACTGAGTGGAATATTATTGATAATATGACGAGGATGCGACGAAGAAAATTGAAGATATTGAAATGTATTTGACTGTTTTACATACAGTGAAGTTTCTCAACGATTCATTGTGTAGTGGATAGAAATATTAACATCAAGAAAATTGACATTTTGTTGACTTATATCAAATGTATATTTCAAATTTGTCAAATTATTTAACATCGATAACAGTTCGTTGACTACGGTAATATCTCTGCATGGTAAAAGTGCATAAATATCACACAAAAAGCGGAGATAACGAAGTAAAACCGATGTCGAATATTGACGGAGAAATTCAGTAATAGTCAAAATTTCCTTATAGAAGACATAGATATTTGCATAGGGTGGAGCACAGGCAGTTCCAATTGCTGTACCTTCAATCTGTTTGAAATAGTGACCTTTGAACATAAAGAAATTATTTTTTAATATCAGATCTAATAGTAATGACAATGCCGATGTAGATAAAGGAAAATCAAGTAAGAAACCGAAATTTGTAACAAAGTTTGATGGTGCGTGAAAAATGAAAGATATCATCATCTTGAGGAATATTTGTATACAGAGAAGTGATATCACCTGTAACCATATAAAGATGTTGAACATTCAGATTACGATTTAAAATCTCTTTATCGTATCTTTATTGACAAGTTCGATTTGTTTCAGTAAGCATTCTAAAAAAAAATGCGACTTCTAGGAAGACACATAAGTCGGATCCCAAAACGCCGCATTTTAGTGTCTTCTCTGACGACACATGATGTGACTTTACCTGGCAGTCGCTTTATAGCGTCTTCGTTCTAGTCACATTAAAGACACGTAAGTCGGATCCCACTTAGTCGTATTTTAGCGCATTTGTCGAAGTCGCTTTGATGCGTCTTCTAGAAAAGACGCATTAAAAAAAACTTTGTTCCTATCAAGAATTGAACTCGGTCTATTCGCTTACGAGACGAATGTTATGTTCACCACTGAACCACACAGGCACATTAGTTTTTAGTCTTATTAGCTTCTTACGTTGACATTTCGTGTAGGACCTTGATTAAAAGCAGACACATGGAAGGTGGAATTATGATGTGACTACAAAGCGTCTTTCTCGTTCACACGTCTTCCATGTGACTCCAATGTGACTTCTATATGTCTACTAGTAGACCCATTGAAGGCATATAGAAGACACCTATTATTTTGAAGACGCAATATAGTCACATGCAAGACACTTTTTCTCAGCAGACACATCATTGAAGTCGCATTTTTTTTTAGAGTGAATGATTCGTACCTTTTAATACAATAAAATTCTGTACTTGATAATCGTTCATAGCAATTTCTCGTAATAGTGGTACATAAGCTGTTAAGAGCCTTTCCAAGTAATCAGATATATTTGATGTAAGATGATCTTTCCCGGATATAACTGGTTGTCCAGGACAATGTTTTTTATGAATTTTCGGTAAAATATAAAATGTACCACAAGATGATTTTTTCGGTTCAATAAATTTCAACGTAGAAAAGTTGATTAACTTCAATAATAATACGTTGTTTAGTCTAAAAAACAGTTGGATTATAAGACAGTGATTCATAATATTCTCTGTCATTAAGTTGTTGCAGGACTTTTGATTCATAAACGGACGATTTCATTACAACTATACCTACATTTTTATCTGCAGGACGTATGATAATATCATCGCGATGTTGTAATGAACGAAGAGCCGTTTGTTCATCAGTCGGCAAATTCATAATAAATTCAGAACGATTTGAATAGGCAGAGAGAACAAATGCATCCGTACTAATACGGAGCATACAGCGCAAGAAAACGCATATAAGAAGCATGCGTTTTCTGATGTTGCGTTAGTGTAGCCAGAAAAGTGCCAAAAAATTCGCATTTCTGCAGCAATCGTTAAAAAAACGTTCTGTCAAAAAACATCTCGCGATAAATAATCTTTCCTAAAAGCATTCCAGTATTCTATCCGATTTCTCTAGGGCAAATATGAAGTATTATATACCGTTCGATAGACAATTTCAAGAGCTACAAAATGACCTGTAAATACGTCTTTCAAAAATATGTCCACATGAATCAATAGCCGAAAATACTTATCCGATATAATGATTTTGACCTATATTAGTGCTTTAAACACTCCTTTAGTCATTTTTCTGCCATAATGAAAACTTATCGATTCCACAGATTCAGATTACGATTTAAAATCTCTTTATGCACAAAATCG